CATGGCATATGATCAGGTATGCGATTGTTATCGTGGCGAACGAGTTGCCATGTTGTCTACGTACGGCGTCTTTTTGCAGAACTATTGGAAAGTTCTAGCGTTTCCTCCTTGTGACCCCTCAGTTGTCCGGATACAAGTACAAAGAAGTACAGAGAGCGTTTTACAGTAATGGCATCAGCACAAGTGGACCGTTGGCAATCAAGCAAGCTAGGTGCCAGATAATCCTTATAATGTGACATCCGAGCGGCTGGCCTCTTATAACCAAGCGTGGATGCAACTTATCAAGACTAGACTGTTCCGTCTAGCAAAGAAGGACGTGGCGTTAGTCTGGCATACGGACCGTTGCCTGGCCCGGACGAGGCGCCGGTGCCAGATCCTTCAAAGCGTGGACGTACGACCATCAGAACCACTCAGGCTTCAAACTAGTGAGAGCTTACAAGTAGACTTTCTAACAAACCTTATTTGATGAGACGGAGAACAACCCGGAAGCCGAGATACAACTGAGTCCCATCGCCAAACCATGCAGCCAACAATTGTAGATGCAACTCCGAACATCTTGTAGGACGACACTGGACACGAAAATTGGCCGCAAATAAGACGCAAAGGGCGAAAACCAAGCGGCCGATACGCAAATAGTACTCGCAAGTGTGCATCCCGGCTGCAGCATCAGCACATCATTTTTATGTTCAAGCGCGTACGTACAATCCAACTTACCGAGCCCCATGGAAATTCATCATTCACAGGCGAACCGTCAGAATCACCCAGCTGTTCGAGTCACACTCTCATCTGAAGATCTAATGCGGTTCAAAAAGTAACATACAATATGTGGACCTTGATTCTTGGGACGTGGTATCGCCACAGATCGAATTAAAACCCACAGCTAGAAACCGAGGAATGGGGAATATCTGGAATTGCAGTAGTGCCGCTGGAGTCATACTCAACGATTGCAAGATTTGTCGAACTTAGAAGAGGAGCGGGACCGCATTCCCTCAATGACTCCTCATCGATCAAGACTCCTGAGTTGTTTTGCCGCGCATACACAAACGGCATATTGGCGCGCCGCGCCCATGGCAAACATGCCAAGAGTGCATGCGGCCCTCGTTTGTTGGAGGCCAAGTGCAGCAACAACGCGAGTTCCCCTCTTCCAATGATTGGCAGATCCGTAACTTGCACGGAAGCAGAAGATACGAATGTCAAAGTCTGTTAAGTTTAGAGCCGTGATGACTTCGTCTCAGTGGGTTATGATTCAAAGCCGGTGTAAGCCAAGACATTGAGAAACAGGGCTATATAAGTGAGTCTCGTTCCCGCAACGACACAAACTCTACTACGTCTTTCAGTTTGAAGGATGTACAAACGAAGGGAGCCAGCTGTGAAGGGGCGTGCTAAGATTAAGATCGTTGAGCCTTAGAGAAGCTAATAAGGAAACAACTCTCGCTTAGGAGTATCAAACACTCATATGTTCAGTACCTGCCCAAAATTAGACTCACTGCTCGAGTTGAGCGACTTCTACTCTGCAAAAATGTGTCGCGCACGTCACAAAACCGCCAGGCAGCTGCGCAGCGGACAGTGACGACGCTCGAAAGGGACTCGCTCTCCCTCGCTCTGATTTCAACTGTCTTCCATCGCAGTTTGACCCTCTCCAGCCGCTTGTTCCTCCCAAGCCAACCCCGCCTGTAAACCCTTCTTTACCCCTCACATACCAGGTCCAAACTTGGTAATCTTAGCGCAACCCTGCCCTTAACCCCACCTCTAGACCCTCCCTTACCCCATCCTTGACCCCTCAAATGAGCGAGTCAAAGTTCTTCTTCTTCAGCACGGAGGCCAGCCCCATGGGCTTATCTTCGAGGGGCTCCCCCGTGATGAAGTCCTCCATCGGCTTCATCAGACAGCACTGCGCGTAAGCGTCGCTCTCGCGGCTGAACGCATATGCGTACGGAAACGCCGTTGAAATCTGCAGTAAGGCAGAGAGTATGACGTCAGCACCGAGACCACGCGCTCGTTGTGGTTATGAAGCGCGTCCGCCAAATCTTCCGCTCTCCCCTCCCTCGATCTTCTCTTGCTTCGCAATGAGTGTTTTCCCTTTTCAGAGACACATCCTCCAGAGAAAAAGCACGAGGCAGATCGAAACTTTAGTGAAGGCTGCCTTTTGCTTCTGTGCAGTTTTGAAAGACTGTCTGCGCTTTCTGTTGCTTTCGAGAAGCTGAACCAAGCTCGGCTTTGATGCTGTGCGGATTGAGAAGACATCGGAGTGCTGCAGGTGTTACTCAACACCTTTCACCACACAAGCGTCTCCGAACCACCTTTCAGATGGTGACGTCAAAGCGCCGCCCGGCATAGAAAAGGGCGGTCTGTTTTCGGGGAGGGCAGAGCGAAGGCCAACCAGCTTTAATCATTACCTCTCTTTTGATCGAAGCCCCATCAAGCACAGGACGTTTAGTAACTGCCGGATCCTGATTACCGATGCTTCTTTTACGAGGAGCCTATATTGATTGAAACCAACGTGACAGATCGACGGAAGACAAACTGGTCCCGCAAAATGAAGCAGATTAAGAAAAAAGGCTCCTGGATGTACAACAGTGCGCACAATGACCCCTCAAGAGACCCTAAAAGCGTCCAAGAAGGAAGAGCAAAGAGAGAACGGGATAGAGAAAGGGTGAAAGATTTCCCACTTCGCACAGAATTCTAACCTTGTGAAAGACCTAAGAGGACTTGACAATCCGGACCCGCACGATTAGAAAGAGGAAACGCTTCGCAGCCCACCTCGAGCGTGAGCATCTCCTCCTCCTCGAGGTTGGCCAGGTGCGCGATAAGGCCGCGCATGACGTTGCCGTGCGTCACGACCAGCACGTTCTTGCCCTCGCGTAGCCGCGGCTCGATCACCTCCACGTAGTACTTGCGGGCGCGCCGCGCCGTGTCCTGCCAGGCGAAAGGGCGCGCAAAGGTTTAAGCCCGTACTAGTTACCAGTCAGAGAAGTGACCGTATTCGGAAAGCACGCAATTTTGATTTGTCACCCTCTTCCTTGACAACGTGGTTTAAGGGAAGGGTGATTCCGGGTTTTGTTGATAACGAGTATCCACATCCGTTTAGCGTCTCGCTGATCTGAAGAGAATAGCCGTATGAACCCTCGAATTGTTGTCGGTCAGGTGAATCAGCTCCTGGACAAGGACCCCCAAAGTCCGAAGCAAACAAACAAAGCGCTTGATAACAAAGAGCACGCTTAGAAGCCGAAAGAGCATCTAAGATGGCGTTATCAACGAAGACCGGTAGCGGCGCCAGCTGCGGGCTTTGTTGACCTGACATTTCAAGAGAGTGTCTCTGCGTGCTTGCTTGAACCACGAACACCGACTCGCAAAAGCCTGTCAACCGCAACTCCGTCACGAAGTAACGACACTTGCTAAAAAAGCACAAGCTCATGCATCCAGGAGGCTGGCCTTTCTTAAATAATTACCCCAATGGGGTAATGATTTTTCTTCTATAATTATCCATAACGAGGTTTTCGGAGGCAAGAGCTTATTCAGGAACCACAAAGAGGCACAAGGAAAGAACTACGTTCTACTTTTGCACGGCCAGCTTACCACGAGGCTCTCCCCGCCGGGTGGCGATGTGTCGTTGCTCCGCCGCCACTGCTGCACCAGCTCCTTGCCGAACTCCTTGGCGGCCTCCTCCTTGTTCAGGCCCTGCAGATGGGTCGCCGCAATCTGTGAATGCCTGGGAATGGAATATGACGTTTCCTGGCCGTCCAGCCGCGTGATCACCCCTTTTCGAATATTCCAAACCGCCGATGACTTGAAAACCTCTTTCCAACTAAAAGAAAGGCTAAACGATGCAGACTTGAGGCACTCGATGACTCAACCAACAGGATATGAAGATAGAGTACGACAAAGGGCGGGAATCTACCTGCTGCAGACGGACACGCTTCTCAAACAACGTTGTCACCGATCAGATTAGATAGACCAGGAAAAGTCATTGTGCGACTCCCAAAATCTGGTTTAAAGGTAAGCAGATCCATGACGTGCGCCAAACCCGGAAGGATCCTCGCAGCACAACGGTTCTGATGTTCCTTTCAGCTTGCGCAAACGCAAACTGGCGATATAAGGCTTGCTACAGTAACAATAAACAGTCAGAATTTGCACGGCCATAATATATGCTGCGGCTTCGGATATCGTGATCAACATTTGGCACCAGCAAAATGCTATCGCCAATACATTTTTCAGTCCTGGCCACAAACTATCGTGAGCTAATTGACGCATGTGTCGGTAACCTGGACTGAGCCATCGGAAGCGCCCACGTCATCCCATGGCACGAACCGGCTTTGTGTGGCTGGGACGACTCAGCATCCTGTCCTGAAGCGAGTCGTGGGCGAACTCGCCGGGCGAATTCATGCACGATAGACCAACCAACGAAACGGAAGCCATTCCAAATCTTCGTCCAAGGTCCTGGACCGATGAGTTTTGCAGAGCTTGCGAAAGAGCTCAGTAGGAAGGGTATGCTAAAGCAAAACAAACCGCACGAGAACCCAATACAAAATAGACCGTCGTATACAAGACCGCTTCAGACTTGAAGTGCAGACTTGCACAGAACGACCTTGATTCGCTTCAATCTTGGCAAGCAGCACCCACCACATTCACGCACGACTTGGAATAGACAGAGGAGCACCTTGCTCGCAACTTTCGGTGCCTGAAGAACTTAGCGATGGCTGTCAGGTCTGGGCACCTGACATGTTCGCAATACGAAGCATGACGCCACCACCACTGCCCTGAATGTTCGAACGAACAAGAACTTGGACATCGCCCCAGATTAGGTGTGAGAACTGACGAAGCACTTAGCTTTTGACCTGCGATTTTTTACACCAATGAATGACGCCCCAATTGCTCAACCGTTTAATAAGTGGGCATTCGCAGAGGGACACGTTTCAAAGCAGTTCAGGGATGCCGGATAATAGCCCCGCATGGACCATGGCCAATCCAAAGTGGCCGCCAATGGACAAACGTCTGCAAGATGACTTCAGCACTCCCCAGGCTCTTGAGCGACTCTACTTGGGCACTGAAGGCCGGGAGCGCTAGAGCAGGGATGCCTCTCTGAAAACTTAAGAACAGCTCACCTATGTTCATAAACGGGGCTCTGGTTCCGGAAACATTCTATTGGCGCTCAAAATTTGCCATGCTCCTCGACTTTTGTCGTCCTGGCCACTTTCGCACTTTCTCAAGTCAAGGACTCAGACAAGAAAGTTAGCTTCCGACCCTCTGAACTTGGTGGCATAAGAAATCTCCAAGAAGGGGTGGCATCGGGATGGCCACAACCGCAGGGTGGCGTTGTGACTTTCGCCCATTGCCTTGATCGTCCTGACCAGCGGATTGATCTTCCTGCCTCACTAGAACGCAGAAGGTCAGAACGACAATACACATGATGAGGGCTCACCTCGTGTCACCCCAAGTGCTCGTCCCCTTCTCACCTCCTCTCGGTTGAAAGCCAAGTGGCTGCCGGGCAGAAATAAAGGCTCAAGTGCGGCCTTGACATACTAATTCCTCGTCATTCCAGCAATTATAACCGTTTTTATGCTATGATTTACTCGTGGAAAGACTGTCAAGTAAGCATCCGATCGGCTTACTGCCCGCTCCATGATGACGACAGATATTGAAAAGCAGCATAGAAGCCCTGAAGGAGCACGCATCATCACAGAAGTATCGAAGTGGGCAGAAATTATATAGCCAGTGATCCAGTCTATATGATCTTCCTTCGAGACCAAGCGGCAGGGCTAAAGCTGAAGCTTATCACAGGCTGCACGGACGCGCTGGATTTGCAGCTTCACTCTTTTACGATCAGCCGACCCAAAACATACGATGCAATTTCGGATTAAAACCTTTTCGCAATGAAGAATAGCCCCGTACGCAGGGCATCAATCAGTCTTGCACGAGCGTTAAAGACTTCAGCAATCTCTAAGGAAGCTGCAGTTTGGCATGTGCCAACCAATGCAAGCATCATCGCCGTTTGGCAGCCACCCTCTTCCGGACAGCGATATTCTTCTCAACCAAGCAATGGACTTCGGCAGACGGCGTTGAAAGCAGGGGTCTATGCCTTAAAGCTTCGTAAACTCTTGGCTTCAGGCCGAATCGCCTGATGCCTGGCCAGAGTAAATGACCGATAGGGCCTGTTGCAGAGTCTCATTCCGATAATACTACCTTACATTTGCCCAACCAAAGCGAAAGCCATATGGAGTGGGCCGTTGCTTAAGAGCACAAGAGATGGCACGAGTGACTGCCATCTGTCCGAGTGACAACAAGAGTAGACTACAAAGCCTCCCGACCCGAATCTTGCGCTCTAATAAGGAATGAAAGAGCAGTATTATGATAAGAAGAAGCTTGCAGGAAGCTTCGTTGGGCCACAACTAGGGTCCTAGCCACTCCTCACCGCTGCTTGCGGGTAGAACGGATGGAGGCTAGACTCAGAGTCCCAGCTCGACACCTCACAACGCAATCCGGTATACTCAGAGGCACGACTGAAAACGGAGCAAAGAAAAGAGAGGCCTGCGGAAACAAAGAACTCAATCAACAGGCAACTGACCAGAAGTGATAATTTTCGGTCAAACTTTTCTTCATAGAACACGGGAAGGTAAACTCGGCATCAACAGACAAGCCAACGAATGACACGGCCGTGTCTCAAACGGGGCGCAACATCATTGCCAAAGGTCTAAATGGACCAGCTATGCGGTGAGCAAGGCACACAGATAGGCGGAAGACAATGCAAGCCGAAGACCGCAAATTTTTGAGTCGCTTGAAAAAACCCGGGGTTGGGGCAAGGCAACCCGTGGGGCTGGAAGGGAAGGGTCAAATTTCCAACGAAAGTCTGAACACTCTTGCCACTTCCTTCAGTGGCGTCAGTACCAAATGAAAAGTGGAACGTTCAAGTAACCAGAAAGCGCAGACAGAAGCGGAGACGAGAGTGAGCACAGAATCTATAACCGATGCTGCACGTATTACTGTAGAGTGGGCCCGAGGGGGAGATCAGCACTTCGTGAACAGATATCGGTGATGCGCTTAGCCAAACGAACGTACATGCTGATTTGTCAAGATCTTATGTTCGAAGGAGCTCGTAGTGTCAGACGGATGAAATTAGCATTTCTGACGGTATCAGATTGGTGCTCGACAACCAATAGAACAAGATCAATAGGACAGAGCATTTGCTTGTTACGAGAGTTATCGAAAAACATCCTTCGAAGTATAACGACAGCAAGGCGTGGCATCAGGGGCTACAGTGGACGAATGGCACATGGAGGTGCCATTCCTAGACCTTCCCAGCCGGATCGAAGTCAGAGAAGAAAGGGACGCAAGGAGGGCGAGACGCATATACGGACCGCGGGCATCGGAAAATCAGGGTATAAACCACGGCTCTTTTCCCCGAGCTTTCTTCCAAGCAGGGAACAGTACACGCCACAGCAGTAGAATCAAAACACCCATAGGAGCGCAAGCAAATCGATAGTGGCCCCTAGCCTCAGCTGGCAAAACACAACTTATCTTTTGCCAGACTCCAAACTTGAAATTGCGTAAATAAGAGAAGATAGATTCGGCCGCACCTGCAGGTCCCCATAGCAGCGCTCGTTGAGCGCGGGGTGTGCAAAGACGGGGACCATCTTGCAGGCCGCCTTGTCCAGCGCATACATGGCCGCCTCGCGGAGCCGCAACCGGTTCCCGTCGCCGATGCGGCCGTTGCCGTAGTAGCCACCGCGCACGAGAACGGGCACCACGTGGCTCGAGTTCTGCAGGGCAACAAAAACGGCTTCCTTATACGTTGCTTGATGAAGTCACACGGACATGAGCTTTCATTTTGACAGCAACTTCCTTCAGTCATGGCTACAAAGTCGGAGTTCGGCCTTGAGAATGATCAGGAACAACCTCTGACAAGGTCATGGATCTTCCATCTCTTGACTCATATGCATCAGCTTCGCCCCTGCTTGGTCGATCTATGCTGTACGGAAGCATTACTAAGAACCCCCAAAAAAGGGCAGGGATCAACCATGCGCAACCTTCCAACCCGCAAAACGGAAGATCTGAGGGGAAAAGCCTGAATTGCCGCTCTTTGAGCAGATCTTCCTTTTTTTGCGGCTCTGAACATACGGCCCAGTAAACGCAAGACCATGGATCTGACAGCAAGAAACGTCTTATGGCTTGAGGGAACGAGCTTAGCAAAAGCTCAACGACAGTTTAACGGGAGGTTAGCAAGACGAACGTTGCTGCTAACGGTGGCGAAGGCCTTGCCTGCGTGAGCGCGAGCATGGCGGTCTGCTTCGCACGCAGCAGACGGCTGGTGAAGACAATGTCGAAGTCGACGTCCTTGATCGTGCGCCCTCCGGACAGGGCCTCCATCACGCCCTTCTCCGTCAGAGGGATGTCCACGTCACTGCACGAGCGAGGTTTCCCTCAGTAACAAGATCAAGGTCGTCTAAATCGCTCTTTGACAACAAACCAGCGATATTGGATGACAAATCCAGAACCGTTTCGCTTTCATCTTTCGATAAAGCACGCCACCAAAAGCTCCAACGTCAAACGGTTCGTTCCTGGTTCCAGCTTTTTTTCGCGCGAGTCTCAATAGACGCTAATTGTGACTTCAATACTGAACTTTGAACTCCGAAATGCAATCAACATCGACTGAAAACTCCAGTAGCCAGGTAGCCCCTGTCACTGCCTCAGGCCCAGTGGAACCAGAAATCAGATGTAATTGAGTTTTAACTCAGGATGCTTTCTCTAGAAAATACATCACTAAACGAACACCCAGGGCTCGCTTAACCTGTCGCACCAATGCGTAAGGACATGTCGATCAAAAGCAAAGCTGTTTTACGAAGTTGGTCAAGCCCTTCTCGCCCAAAGAACAAAGTCCATGAGCAAGACATGAAGGCAGTAATCCTACAGAGAAAAGCCTTCAAGTTGAGTCCTTACAAAGCACAGCGCTGTAAAGCAGACCCCAGGACCCTGCCCCTGTCACATGAAGGCGAAAAAAGTTGAGATCGCTTCCATACATTCAAGCCAGCCCCTGACACTGATGCCTGCATTCTGTAGGATTTTGAAACCAACCACCAAGCAAAGCCCACTTACCCAGTGAACAGCTTGAGCTCGTTCCACATGCTCTGCCCGTGTCGCATCAGAACTAGGATTGGCTGCTTCGTGGGCACCACCAGCGTCCCCTTCTCCCCGTCATGCCGCGCTTTATGCTCGATCGCTTTCCGTCTCAAGTCCCTCAACCGCTCCTCCAGGTTCTCTGCCGGGGGCTCCGTCTTTGCGGCCCCGTTCTGCGACGGTTGCTCCGCAACCGCCGCCGCTCTGTCTGTCTGCTTGTCAAGTTTCACCGCCTCCGAGAGACTGGTCAAGACGTCCGAAAACTTGCTCTCCATCCGGTCGACGTAACCTGGGCCCGGATACATTCGGACGCCGTTCACATGCACGAAACTGCTCGGCGGCTTATCAGCCGCTTCCGCTTCGGAAGTTTGTGCGACCTCCATGACACTTTCCTCCAGAGCCACTCCCTTCCCCTTCTTCTTCTTCCCCTTCTTCTTTACATTCTCAAGCGCCGCCTTCGCAGCTTTCTTAGCCTTCTTTCCGTCCTTCTTCAACTTCTTTTTTGAACCAGCTTCGTTTTCTGAATGAGCCCCAGCCACCGCACCTTCTGAGTCGCTCGTTGACTGACCGCCACCCAGAGCCTCCCGACCTGCACGGCCATTCTCTGCCTGGACGCTACCTGCATACCCATTCTCATTCCCCGCCAATTTACTAACCCCATTGCTGCTGCCACTGGCCCCATTCTGACTGCTCCTCAACGCTCCATTTTGGCTGCTGTCAGACGCATAAACGCTACTTTCATTCCCTGACGTCACACTTCTGCTCACCAAGCCCTGAGTCACAACCGCGCCGCCCGACCCTTCACTGCTCACAACACTCTCCTCTCTGCTTTCTTCCGCCCAGCTATTCCAACTCTTCAACCGCCCGTGCATGGCGGTCCCGTTCAGATGCAGCGTCTGCGTCGCCGCTTGCCATGTCCACAGCTCCTCCTCATTCGCCCTCCCGTTTTCTGAATGCTCCTCCCTAATCCATCCCACGGTACGCCCCCGCGGCCCCATTACACTGTCCTCAACTGCATTTGACTGAGAAGGACCAGCTTCGGTGCTCTCTAAGCTAGTCTGGACACCACCTCGCCCGTCAATTCTCCACCACTCCACCCTGCTGAGTGCCTGCTTGTGGACAGCACCATTTGCGGCCCCGTTCCCGCTGGTTTGACCGTTTGAATGGTTTGATTGGACAGAAGGCTCGGCTTCTTGTGATGCGTTGGTCACCCGCAGCGGACCGTAATCCTTGTTCCTTCTGGCTCGTTTGCCCCAGTTTGAAATCTCGCTGGTCGAAGCGCCCAATTCAACAGTGAACTCCTGCCGTGTTTGCAGAAAAGGCCGACTGGACTGGTAAAGCGTGCTTTTGGTTTGTTGACCTTGCAATGCAGACGAGCCATTGGCCCAGGGTCCAAGAAGATAGGAGCATGACGGTGCAGGAAAATTAGGGTTTGAGGAGCAATTGCAGCTGACACTCAAAGTTGGCACAGGAGACCTGCCGCCCAATCGTAAAGCTACGCAGGCAACCATCTCTCCTGCTCTTACAAAGATTCAATGCAACGCCGCGGCTGAATGCTCAAGGACCGAGCGGTGGCAATTGATTGAAGGGATGCAGACCTTGTCTGCTCTCAAATCCTTGAACGCCTTAATGCAGCAGATAGAATTCAGCCGCCATTGGACGCGAAGAATTTCTACCAAATGCTCCTAACAACAACACTGGGTCGACATCCACCTGTCTGGGCGCCCTGGTTGCTGCCCCCAAAGAAGCACGAGGCGGTGAGCTGTCGTTCACGACCCTCGTGAAAACTCGCAGCTGTTTCAGTCGCTGTGCTGCGCACCAGAGGAAGTGGGCCGTGACCCACTGCCATAGGAAGGTCCTGACTCATGCAGTTGGGGCCAACCATCTGAAGAATGGCATAAAAGTAACGGCCCAGATATCCCTCGGGGAGAATCGACGGCGATCGGAGCTTTAAGGCAATTTAGCGGCATATTTAGCGTGACTTTGGATTCGGGTACCGTAGAGGATTTTCCATTACCGCCCCCCTCGATGGACTGAGCAACGTGACCCTATACTTTAGACGCCCCGGCTGCTGATCCGGCACGAGTCAGGCGCCAAAATATGATAATGCGTAGATTATTCATATACGTAAACGCACCCTGAGCCTATACGTGGCGCAATATACGTTCAGTCCCGAACCTCCGTGACTCTTACGCAGCCTTCAAGGTCTAGCGACATCTATATAAGGCCGATACGGGCTCCGAATTCATCATTTCCACATCAGCCATAAGCCAAGATCACTTTCAACCGGTCCGCTCGGCACCCTAGCTAGCTTTGAGCCAAGTCCCGGCCCTACTCAGGTAGCATGACAGGGGTAGAATCATGCAGCCAGACCAAGTTCTGCCCAACCTCCTGGAAACAGGTCTCCACCGGAAAGTACGTCATTGACCCCCGGCTGCTTACAGCGGAATCCACTGCCTTCAAATGTGCAATATGCAAACAGTCTCTACTCTCTACAAAAAACGGAGTATGCCAGATATCTTTTCGGAAATCTCAGCAAGCAGGTCGCACCGGATTCGTCATCTCCGGCAAAGTGAAAGGCAGCGGCAAGAGCCAGCCAGTGTGCATCGCTTGCATTGAGCGCTGGGTGGGGAGGGTCTTTGTTGCAAAGACCAGCATCAGCGTCGCGCCAGCTGGATGGGTGGGTCCAGCAGAGGTAAGTTGGTTCGCGCGTACAGATTCGACCGACTCATGGCGCCAGCAGAGAGTGTTGCTTGGAGAAGAGGTCATTCGGCTGCAAATGATGAATGCCAAGAGCATGGAGTCAGCTGGCGGTAAGCGGATCAAGTCTGCAGCCGAAGCTGCTTTGAACAGGGGGCGGCGCCAGGCTGGACAAATCCCACGGAACCCCCCACACCCGGTGAGTGCTTTTTGCAGACCTTTTTATTGCTGGTCAAGGACTTGCAAGAGATAGAGTCTCAACGCTTCAAGCAATCAGCAGCGACGTCCGGATCTCCAGATTAACCAGCTTAGCAAAGTCTGAACTCCTATGGGCCGCATTCCTTTAGCTCCTCGAAATTGTAAGTGTCTGATCTACGTTCTTGCCCTCTTGCAGACCCAATGCAACTCAGAAGAAGCCCGAGATGCGGGCGGACAGCTCACGCTTGTGGCTCAAGCTGGTCGGTTCCTGACCAACTTTATGAGTGGCGATTGCGCACTCTACAGCATCGACGAAGAGGGCTCCAGCAGCTCTGTGTTTTTGATGACCGCGTGGAATCACAACGCTGCGAGGCCAAAGCCTCTGGGGCGACCCACCGAGAGCAACGCCTTGCTCGAGACGGTATACTGGGACACGCTGGGGAACCCGAGCTGCACGTGCGATCGTGGCCGCTTGAGCTTTGGTGCAGCTTGCGTTCACAAACTGGTATTGGAAGCGCTCCAGGAACGTCGGCAATCAAGCCACCGGTCATTTCAGAAGGGGCAACGGGTGGTGGAGGCGCCGTGCAGTGGCGTGGGGCAGAGAGTGCTCGGGGTGTACTGGAACGCGG